ATTCTCACATCTATTCCTCATATGACGTCACAGAGACGCCCCGCTCTGATTGGTTGAAATTTCGTTCGCGGGTGAGAATTGTGCACTGTTGTCAAAAAGGTCGATTTAAGTTAATTAAAGACCGAAGTGGGTAGTTTTAATGACGGGGTTTCATTTATAGCGATGCCAGTTAGTGATTTATGTATTTGTACCCCCCTAGAGTATATGTGATCTTTAAGACGTATGCAGCTATCTGGAATTCAGATATTTGAGAATGTCAACTGTAGTTATCATGAAATTTCAATGCTTGCTGATCTCGTCTGACATTAAGCGACGACAATTATACGCTTCCAATCAATGGATTACCCACACTTGTTGTGTAATTCATGCTGGATATATCAGGTGTCTGTTGGCCTATAGCTGATATTTCAGGCACTGAGGTCTGTTACTGTATAATACACACATACATCCAGACAGAAGCCCACTACGAAAGTTGCAGGATGACACTTGCTCTGATGATGCTGATGTTGGGTTTTCTTAGTGTTTGTAATGAGATTCATGGCCGAGGACAATCAGCCTCCAGCAAGACACAGATTGCATGTAGCCAGTTGAGGGCGTCCCACTGTTCTCATGCAATCGGATGGGATCTCCGGTGTGCCCCAGTAGCACTCAAAGTGACAAGAAAGTCGAAAGGCAGGCCTCCAGGTTTGTGCCAGAATGGAATCACTTGCATGTGGCACCAGCGTTCAATATAAGCACTTGTGGAGGGAACATTTCGCACAGATGTTTAAATTTGTATATGTTATTACAGCTCGCAGTCAGTATATGTGTCGATTTATTTTCCATAGTAAGCTGCAGGATATTTTGAACGAGGGCTCAGAGTGACAAGGAAGTCAAATGGCAGGCCTCCAGCCTTGTGCCAGAATTGAATCGTTGCAGGTTGCGCCAGTATTTGCAATAAGTGCTCGTTGTTCGTTCATTTTCTGTCTGTGTATTGTTTTACGATGTGGGTGTATGGCTAAGCCTCTTCGTATTCATGGAATATCAACTCGAAGTCTCAATTGTTTAATCCAGAACTCCACTGTTACAACACGGTTCCAACACATAGATGAAAGTCAGTTGCGACTTGATGAAACATTCATGAGAAATAGATGTACTTGCGTTGAAACTAAAGCATAGCATTTGCGAGTCCTAGAATAAAGTGATTTGAAACGTTAGGTGAAACTTGCCTGGCGAATACAGACTTTAACATGCCTATTTCTGCAAAACAAACCTTCAAAATTATCACTTCATGACGCAGACTGCGTGGCTTCCTTTTAACCGTCGACTTCCGCTCATAACGTCCCCAATAAGAGTTATTCCCCTTGATACCAAAATTAGCGTAAGCAGCGAGTTGCAGTCTACTTGATAAAACTTAATGTCTCTGAATACTTAATTTCAATACAGTCTGACCATTGATTTCTATTTTGAATGAGTGTTTATTCAGTCAATATGTGTATATTTGAAATGAGGGTGTTAAGAGGTTCGTCAGAGGCTTCAGCTTCTTCACTTTGTTTTGATGGCGGCCTGACCATTGGCGTTTTGTCCACCCCTTTACTAGGTGTGGTGACTTAATCGCCGTGCTCCGTGTTCTGTGCTCTGTGATATCGCTGATTCAGAACACCCAAACTATTAAGTCGCCATGCTCTGTGTTCTGTGCTCTGTGATATAGCCTCAAACTCGTACCTTATGAGGATGAAATATCTTCTTTTTTTTTGTTTTGATTCTCCATACATCCAGGTCATACAGTTCATTACATAACGGGTTGGTATAAACACGATTCGCAAATATATACAAAGTCGATTAACAGGCAAGTGTGCATTCAGGTGGAAATGAATAGGTACTTGGAAATATAATAGCAGTACATTATATATAGCGCTAGGTTAACAGAACAGATTGTGACATAGTGACTAAACTTTTGTGAAGCTGTCATATTTGCAATTTGAATAGGCATTAAAACGTTCAGCATAATATGTTGTCTTTACGTCTTCTATAATGTAGTTCAAATTTGGTGTTTTATCTCTTTGTTTCATTTTGTATATATTATATTTTACTACTGTTATTATCAAATTCAGAACATGGTTTCTCTTTTCACAATATCCTAGAATAATATTTTTCTTTGAAAAGATAATATTTGACCCTGTGTTTTCGAATATCCATTCTTCTATTTTCTTCCAAATAGTTTTTATGACTTTACAGTCACAAAATAGATGTAGAATTGATTCTTTCTCGGATTTGCAATATTTCATTTTTGTTAGCAAATCATTTGTTGGCAGAAACCTATGCAGTATGCTGTATTGAAACGAAGAGTGTTTTACACTATTATACGATTTACAGGTTGTTTTTCTATCGCTTCCCATATGTTATCGTCAATAGACTCATTAAGTTCTTTTGCCACTTGTTTCTATATATTAAAGGTTTTCTAGATTTACCATATATGAGTATGTCATAGATATCTCTACATCCTTTTGGGTTTCCTACTATATTTCGTAAAAGATAGGGCAAGATCGGAGCTTGGATTTTCTCTTCAATATGGATGTTTATGGATTTGCAGTAGTATTTAATTGATTCCACTATTCCTTGACGCTCTAGGAAGTTAGTTTTGCACCCAAACGGTTTTTTAATTGTTCCACCGTTAAAAAGTTACCTTGGGCGTCAAACATGTCGTTTATATAAGTAATCCCTTTGCTTGAATAATGTTTATAATTGATTGGTTTTCCATTTATTTTAATATTGTCATTTAACCATAAGGGTTGGGATAAATGATCACATGCATTTTTTGCTTTTTCTGCTTTTCTGGTTACGAATTTACCCCATGATTTCAAAGTGTCTTTCCAAAAGTGATTTGTTTCTTGTGTTATTACTTATATTACTTATTCAAGTATGTGTGTTTCGCATGTTTGTATAAAGCTGTCGATGTCCCAATGTGTCTTCGTTTGCAATTTCCTTACTTTTGAATCTGAGTTGGTGAGTCTTTTAATCCATGATATTTTTTGTGATTGAATAAGATTTTATATCTCTTGGGCTCGTATTCCCCCGTATTCATAACTCTTTGTGATAGTTTCTCGATTGACTTTGTCGGGTTTGTTTTTCCATATAAATTTATAGCAGAGCTGCTCAATTTCCTTAATCATTTGACTGACTGACTGACTGAGTTTGGTTTTACGCCGCTTTTAGCAATATTCCAGCAATATCACGGCGGGGGACACCAGAAATGGGCTTCACTCATTGTACCCATTAATCATTTGATCATTTGGGTTGAGTAGAGTTACAAATAAATGATTAAGTTGCGGTAAAGTAAACGTTTCAATATGGTATTTCTACCTAAGGGAGTTAGATCTCTTGCTAGCCATTGATTCATTGATATTTTGAGAGTCTATCTTTATATACTAGGCACATAAAGAAACTGTGCATACAAAAATTTAAAATCTAAATTTTTCAAACCTGTGTAGACACATAAGGATTTAAACTCAGAGATTAGTGACATGTATCCAACATGCATGCACGTGCCACGTTCCGTGATGTCAGTGGGTTCGTCCTTGAGACGTGCAATACATTGTTGTACGTGCATTCCGGGAAAGAGAAACCGAACAAATGAATGCCACACAATACTGTCACTTTGCAAAGCTCAACCCCTGCCCTTGCGATCGTTAAAAAAATGAAACGACTATTGAGACGCATAGCATGCCAAGGCTCACGTCTGCACAACGTCATGAGGCCATTGGGGTGGTCCGAGGGGGAATGTCTCAATGACAAGTGGCTGCACATTTCCACTGCCACCGGAACACCATTTCTGCACTGGTGAGACGCTACCAGAACACAACTGACGTCATCGATCGGCCACGTTCTGGACGTCCACGTGTAACAACGCCAAGACAGGACAGATGGATAGGGTGACCCATCTTCGCCACAGGTTTCAGACTGCAGTGGTGACTACCCGAACCATCCCAGGACCTCGCCGTATCCACCCCAACACAGTTCGACAACGTTTAAGTCATCACGGGATCAGACCACGACGTCCCGCCATACGGCCTATCCTGACACAACGTCATCGACAAGCTCGCCGAATGTGGTGCCGAAATCATGTCCGCAGACCCTTGTTTTGGTGGAGAAATGTTGTTTTTACAGATGAGTCCAGGTTTAACATTTCCCATATTGATGGACGTCAACGTGCCTATAGACGCGTGGGAGAACGTTATGCACAGGCCTGTGTCGTGGAGAGGAATCGCTTTGGTGGTGGTTCCGTGATGCTTTGGGGTGGAATAACAGCACGCCAAAGAACTCCTTTGGTGATTGTTCAGGGCAACAAAACTGGTGTGGGCTACAGGGATCAGATTCTTCGACCTGTGGCAATTTCTTTTCTGCAACGTCATGGCCCTGGGTTAACATTCCAACAGGACAATGCCCGCCCTCATACGGCAAGGGTTGCTATGGATTTTTGCAACACCACAACGTTGACTTACTGCCTTGGCCTGCAAATTCACCGGATCTCTCCCCGATAGAGCATGTTTGGGACGAGATGGATCGACGTCTACGCCGTCTTCTTCATCCGCCAGATAACGTCCTTGACCTTGGAACAGAACTTGAGAGAATCTGGCGTGACATCCCACAAGCCTTCCTTGCACGTTTGATAGGCTCTATGCGTCGTCGATGCACTTTTTTTTCAATGCTGATGGTGGACATACACGTTATTGAGCTTGTGACATGGTCGTTTGACCCCTGTCCCGCTTGTGGACTCGTGACGTCATTGTGATTGACTTTCAATTGAAATTCTCCCGACTTGTTATGGTCTCATGATCCCTCCATTAAAGTTTATACGTACCTTTGACATTGTTATCGTACTTATCAATTGGGATAATATTTTGACACTGCACAGTTTCTTTATGTGGCTAGTATAGTTGCGTTCAACCATTTCTGCGATGTTGTGAGTAAATACAATTCCTAATAGTGTAAACAAGTCAATCTCCACGTCTAAATTCCAGTTTCTGCATAATTTTCTTTTAGAGTTTTTTTCTGAGCCTATCCATAATACCTGTGTTTTGTTTACATTTATTTTTAAGCCTGAAAATGAGGCATATTTACTAAGAATTTCTTATGTCACCTGTAAACATTCTTCAGTGCCATCTAGTATCAATGAAGTATCATCAGCGTATTGGGAAATTAGGTATTCTGTATCTCCAATTTGTATTCCTTTTATTTTATTATTATTTCTAATCATTGTTGCCAAAACTGGCGTACAGTATAAAAATATAAGGGGAGATGGGATCTCCTTGTCTGCATCCTCTTGAGATATTGAAATAATTTGAAAGGAAACCATTTACAACAACACATGATTGAATGTTATTAAAGAAGGTATTTATCCATCTTGTAATCGATGGTTCAAAGTTAAAGAATGGAAGAACTTTTTGAATGAAATGCCAGTCAACAGAATCGAATGCCTTTTCAAAGTCAATAAGAAGTATATATTCAGTATAGTCAACGATGTCATATATTAGGCGAGTACACTCACCAATATATCTTTTTGACATAAACCCTTTTTGATCCTCATTTATTATAGAGTGTAGGGCTGCTTTTATTCTGTTTGCAGTGGTTGATGATCCGATTTTATACGCTACATTCAGCAATGAAATGGGTCTCCAATTCTGAAGCAAATGTTTGGATTTACAATTTTTGGGAAAACAGGTTATAATGCCTTGCTTTTGAGTCAAAGACAATTCTCCTTTCTCGTAAGCTAAATGTAATGATCTTATAAGATACTCGTGAATATTGGACCAATTTTTTTTGAAGAATCCAACAGTTAAACCCGATGAGCCAGGACATCTTTCATTTTTCATTTTTTAAGACTGTTTAATACTTCTTCTTATCTTAATTGTCCTTTTAATTTTCTTGTTGATTTTTTGATAGCTTTGGGACGTCTATGTTTTCAAGCAATTCTGTTAGGTTCACATTTTCGCATTGTTTTTTCGTGTATGGTAAAACGATTTAGTTTCAGTTATAAGATCTTCTTTTTGGTTAGGGTTTCCTTTTGATTGTTTTCAAGTTTATATATTACTTTGTTTAAAAAGTTTTGATTTTTTTAGAGACAGAAAATATTTTGTCGGTTTTTCTCCTTCTTCTTTCCATTTAGCTTTAGATCGTAGTAGTATCCTTTCTGTTTCTTTTTTATTAATAGTCTTTAATTCTCTATTTGCTTCTTTTAATTCATCCTGTAGCTTTGTTTTGGAATCTGTATCATGTGATGAATCTATTTTTATTTCAAGCTCATCTATGGGTTTTTTCAAGCGTTTGGCACATATTCAAATTTTCTTTCTTTTTATAGGATGAATAATTTATTGTGCGTCCTCTGATCATTAACAAAAGCGTTTAAAAAAACAGCTGATCGTTTACTTTGAAGACATATTTCCCAGTTTCGTCTACATAAGATTTGTATTGTTCTTTGATTTCATTTATCAGTATTTTGTTTTTTTCCACAAATGTTTTATCATAGAGTAAAGAATTGTTTAATTTCCAGTAGCTTTTGCATCTTTCTATCTCACTGATCAATAGATTAATCCAAATTACTGAGTGGTATATGCTGCGTCAATGCCGGTATCCTGAATTAAACTTTCGAGGTTTTTGGAAACGATAAAGTAGTCTAGTCTTGCCTGTTTGACGGGGTTTTTCTGTCTCCATGTGTATCTCTTGCTATCTAGGTTTTGTTCTCTCCGTGGGTGTATTACATCATTTTCTTCCATAAATTCTAACTAAGTTTCTCTAGCTTTTGCATTATTAACGTTTTTATAGTTGAAATAATCCATTTTTATATCTTGTACAAAATTCCAATCACCACATATTGAGAAGCTGTCGGATTGTAACTCAGCGATAATTGAGATGAGTTCATGGTAAAATTCTGGCGTATCGGTGTTTGGTCCGTATATTGTTACTTAAGTAATTGTCCTATCCATAATTTTCAGTTTTAGTGCTACATAGTTTCCATTTACATCATATCTAGAGTCCTCAATGGTAAAATCAAAGTAATCATTAAAACGTATTGCTGTTCCTCTGGCATTGCTTTTAAGAGAACTGAAATAACAGTATTTTGATCCCCATTCTTCTTTAATTTTGATTTCCATTTCTTTTGTAAAGTGAGTATCTTGGATACAATATATATGCACTCTTTTGCTTTTTAGATGTATTGTATCGTGCTTCATGGTGGGTATTGGGTCTGTACTGTTTTGAATGGACTGGTGTTGTGTTTATCATTTTGTACATGGAGCAGATTTTTAAGTTTATAAAGTGAAAGTAGAGAGGGAGAGCTAACAAAAAGTAGCATTATAAGGCAGAATGTTACCTTCATTTGATTGTTGAGAATCCGGTACATGTGTTATCCTGCTGTGGTTTGGGTAGAGGCATGGCCGTGTGGTGTAATTGTATGAAATATGTTCACTATCTGCCAAAGAAACTTACCTGAACATGGAGGAGAACAGCGATGGATTTTCAGTGATTCGGTTATATATTCTGGTGATATGAATTATGTTGTATGGTTTTGCTTTGCACGAAGGACCAAAAAAGAAGTGTGTGAATAAGATTGTTTGCTTGACGTTAAATGTCGTTGATAAATGCTGGTTGATGCTACTCTCTCGCTCGCTCTTTCTCCCCCCCCTCCCTCTCTCTCTCTCTGCATCTGTTTAGCTATCTATCTCACTAATATTGTTGATGGCGGCGTTAATCAGCAAATACTTCAACCTGCATAAGTTGTTGAAGTTCAGTTCTAACCCGAATGTTCAGGCGTGTTGGATTAAGAGCATTCAGGGCGTGGTCTCTCACAAAAAAACACATATAACTGTCCCAACAAAATAGATCCCTCAATATACGAAAAATGTTTAGCTTGGGGTAAACATTCATGTAGTATTGACATTATTATTTAAAACTATGAGACCATGCTGTCGGTCGCTGAAGGCTGGGGTCGGTCGTTCAGGGAAATATTTCGTGTGTCCTATTTCTCAGAAAAAGATTTTCGGTAAAATATGTATTTTCATAAAATGGTTTATCATATGCAATTTATCCACAAGTTAGAGAAAGATACCTTCTATGAAATAACGCTTGTGGTTTAATAGTTGACATAATATTCATGATGTGTTTTTATGCAGCAATGAAACCAGGCTATTGGTCGATCAAGGCTGGGAAAGTGAAGATCAACATCAAGAGACACGTGACCCCACTGTCTTGGGATGCAGCTTTGCGTGTGTGTCAGTCTGAAGGAGGGTCGCTGGTCAAGATTGACACTGAAGAAAAGGAGACAGCAATCAAGAAGAAGTTTAAGATTAGAAGCAGTTTAATCTCTTCAGGTATATCTTTCAAAGAGTATTGTTGGCTGTAGATTTTGATTTGTGCTAGATTTAAAGAGAAAGATCTGGAAAGTGCTGATTCCAGAATCATGTGGATTAGAGAGTATTATAGAACTTTCTACTAGCATCTTTGGTATCACACTTGTGTTTGTTACAAACTGATTCCAGGTGAAGCTTTTAGTTTCAACTTGGGACATAAATCCTCTGCAACAAGTGTTATAAGTATATCTTTTTGTTAATTAACAGTCAAGCGCTATGCTTGTTTTGCCTGAATAGGCCACCGCCATCAAAGGCAAACAAGTTATCCTCTTTGCCAGTTTTATGATGAATTTCCAAACTATTGGACGATATCACTTTGAAAAATGAAAACTTGCTATTGATGGGTGATTTTGACATTCATTATGCCATTTTGACACATTAGTGCATGAGGTCAAGAAATGTGTCAGCTGTTAGAGTCACATGGTCTTATCCAGATTGTTCTTGAACCTACTCACAGGAACGGTCACAGACTTGATTGGATTGTTCCTCGGCATGAAGAAAATGTGGTGCAAAACATCCGCGTTGAAGATAGACATTCACCTGATCACTTTTGGATAATTTTAGAACCTAATTTTCTCAAACCCGCTGATAACCTGTTGAAGTTCAAGTTTTCCGTAAAGACTTTGCTAGGATCTTTGGTCTTCAAAGTTATTGACAGAACCTTCAGAGGATGTGAATGAACTTGCTGATCTCTGGTTCAACTCTTGGATTCTCATGCCCCTTGTGTCACAAGATACAGGCGACTCCGGCATGAATCACAGTGGCACAATGATCAGATACTTCTCGCTAAAACCCACAGGTGCAGAGCGTAAGTGGAGAAAATCCAGGCTTAAAATTCATTGGCAGCTGTATAAGATGACTTAAACCAACTGATTCGTGATACAAAGTCAAGGTATTACAATGATAATGTATTCTCCAATCAGCAGAATCCCAAAGCACTCTTTACTCATATTTTGTCTTTACTTGCAAAGACGTCAAACACTACTACTCTACCTAATGTGGAAGATGATTTGACTCTTGCAAACGACTTTGGCAAGTTCGTTTGTTCTAAGATTGCGAAGATTAGGCAAGAGTTTTCTCCTGAGTCAATTGTTGCAACTGTTGCAGTCTTTCAAGGTGAGAGTTTTGATTCCTTTGACCCGCTCACAGAGGGACAGATTCTCTCCATCGTCAAACAATCAAAGAGCACAATGTGTGCACTTGATCCAGCCCCTACTAAATTTGTCTTGGAATATTTAGACATTTTACTTTCTGTGTTCACTCAGATTGTGACACTGTTCCAGGATCTTTCAAGCATGAAATTGGGAAACGCTTGCTGAACAAAAACCCTGGTTTAGACTGTACCTGTTTCAATAATTGTAGGCTGGTGTCTAATCTTCCATTCCTGTCCAAGGTACTTGAGGGAGCTGTGAAGGGGCAACTTGGACAGCACTTGAATGAACCTCTGTCACAAATTCCAGTGCGCCTATAGGTCATTTCAAAGCACGGAATCAGCCCTGCTCCGTGTTGTTAATGATTTGCAGTGGAGCATTGACAAGGGAAACCCAGCCGTTCTTGATCTCTTGGATTTATTGGCCGTCTTTGAAACGTTGGATCACCAGATACTTCTAGCAAGACTTCAGTTCCAGTATGGATCTGATAGTCTCTTCTCTGGTTCAGGTTCTACTTATCAAACAGAACTCAATCTTCTGCTGTTCATAATGCTCAGTCTGAGGAAGCTATTTTCCCAAAAATCAAAGATGGCCGCCAAAAATAAAAGAGTGCTTAAGTCCACACAGAATGGTCGCCGATTATAAAAAATCTTCATTTGTTGCAATATGTGAGATATATTCGCTTCTTCTAATACTTCAAGTAATATACAAACACGATTTATGCTTAGTAGTAAAAGATATAATTCATCATCCAATTAATGACAAAGTTACTGTTTTGGTGAGTCACATGATATCCTTTTGTCAAACATCGATCTTTGTGATTCTGAAGTCTCCTTTAACTTTGTGGAAGCTTCTGGCGGTGTCATCCACACCAGTCACCATGCGTTGTCATCCCTTGTCCAACCAAACAAAAATCTGTTCATATTGATCATCAAGGGTCATCAGTTCAGGAGACTTAGGAAGGGATTTCCATCAAAGCGACTGTGCCACATAAGTTGTTGACTTGAGTCTTGAATGTCTGCTGTGTAGCGAAACCTTGTT